ATGATTTTCCAAAATGATTTGCCAGATTGGACTCTTTGGTGTTTATCAGTCTCACATTGCACTTTGTGAGATTAGATTCAGAACTGTGACAGGAGTCCGAACTGTAGGACCAATTCGCGCCTTCTCCGAAAGGAGGGCGCACAAAGAAAGTCGAGTCCAATGATTACAACTCAATTAATACATCCCTATAATGTCCAAAATACAAGACTCAGTTCAATAAACTAGATGACTTAACAAGACATAAGCCCGTGGGCGTACAACATTACAAAATACATATGAAGGTTTAGTTACATACTCCCAAAACAAAATACAAAACAACCAAAAGCTCTTGACTCCAATTATCCATCAATTTCCATGCATCAAAAGAAAATTTCATTATATTAAGTAATATCTATCCAAGTAGAAACTTAAGGTTTTATCAATTTTGGGGGTTTTCTCTCTTTTATTACCAATCGATGTTTTAACAACATTTACATTCATATTTAGAGAAGGAATTGAGGAATTTCAAACAAGTTATAAAACAAGAGGTTAGACATAGGTAATAATGGTTTAATCTAATAAAATCCCCAAATTAGTTCACACAACACACACATTGCCATGGAATCCCTTCAACAATGAAGAAATACGAAGATAAAAATATCCCCACCTCAACTATCAAGCCAAATGTCCAAGCTTCTTCATGGATATATCGCAAACCCACAATCCAATCGGTTGATAGTGGCACTCTTAAAGTGTTCTTCGCCCCTAGCAAATGGTTTCGGGTGGATTTCAAGTGTATGAGAGGTATTTGATGGTAGAAATTTAGGGTTTCAAAGAGAGAAGGAGAGGAGATGGAGAATAAAAAAAGAAAATGTGTGAGAATGATCTAGAATTGCTGTGTTTAAAAAGCTGATATTGCGTGCCCCGCTCAAGCGTGACTTCCTACGCTCGAACATCCAGACACAGTTAAGAAGTCCAGCTCGAGCGGCACTTTCCACGCTCGAGCGAACATGCCTGTAGTGTAACAAAATACTAAGAGCAACAATTCTACGCTCGAGCGGCGGTTTCCTCACCTCTCGAGTGGACCTGGAAATAAAATGTCACAATCTCTCCTCCTTAGGAAATTTCACCCTCAAAATTGTTTTCTGCCTCCCACTTGCTATAATTAATGGCAACATCAACAAAATAAATATAAACACATATTTTCTAGTCTTCTATAATATCCAAGAAATTTGCTTACTCTCAATACAACCACAAGAAAAATAATGCTAATATATTTGTAATTCCACCACAATATCCAATCTAAGCATGATGCTAATTCAAACTCACGGTAAAGAACAAGGGAAATATAATAACTTGTAGCCTACGTTTAGTTTCATTAAGTACTCAAAAAAAGTAAGGGAATTAGCACATCACAAATTTAAGAATAATTCAGGATATTTTTCGCGGACTTCGGTTTCTCGTTCCCATGTCACTTCCTCCGCACCATGATGATACCACAACACCTTAACTAGTGGAATTGTCTTACCTCTCAACACTTGTTCTTGTGTATCAAGGATTTGGATTGGCTTCTCCTCATAGGATACATCATCATCTACTTCAATTTCTATCCAATCTAACACATTTGAGAGGTTGGGTTCATATTTACGGAGCATAGACACATGAAATACATTATGGATTCCTGAAAGTTGGAGAGGCAATGCAAGACAGTACGCCACTTCCCCAGCCTGTTCAATGACGTCAAAGGGACCAACAAACCTTGGTGATAATTTTCCACTTCGGCCAAACCTCATCAAGCCTTTTCTAGGGGAGATCTTCAGAAACACATAATCGCCGATCTTGAAGGATATGGGTCGTCTTCTTCTGTCTGCATAACTCTTTTGCCGGCTTTGAGCAGTGACTAACCTTTTCCAAATGAGGGCTATTTTCTCGGTTGTTTCACAAACTAGATCTAAGCCTAACAAACGTGAGTCTCCCACTTCAATCCATCATACCGGTGATCTACACGGATGCCCATACAATGCCTCGAAAGGTGCCATTTCAATACTTGCTTGAAAGCTATTATTATACGCGAATTCAACTAGGGTTAAATGTTTCTCCCATGACCCTTTAAAATCTAATGCACAAGCCCTCAACATATCTTCTAGAATCTGGATAACACGTTCAGATTGCCCATCGGTTTGCGGGTGGTACACCGTACTAAAGTTTAATTGACTTCCTAGGGCACTTTGAAGACTCTGTCACAACTTGGCTGTAAAGCGGAGGTCTCTATCAGACACTATACTAACCGGTACACCATGGAGATGGACAATCTCACGAGCATAGAGTTTAGCTAAAAATTCTACGAAGTCCCCCATACTCATGGCAAGGAAATGCGTTGGCTTAGTAAGTCTGTCAACAATCACCCACACTGCATCGTTACTTATCTGAGTCCTAGGGAGGCCAGAAACAAAGTCCATGTTGACATATTCCCACTTCCATTCAGTAACTGGAAGGGGTTACAATAGTCTAGCCGGTCTTTGGTGTTCCGCCTTAACTTGTTGACATGGTAAACACTTGGAGACAAAAGAGGCTACATTTTTCTTCATACCCCACCACCAGAATTGGCAGCTTAGGTCGTGATACATTTTGGTACCCCCCGGGTGCACAGCGAGACGGGAATGATGAAAGTCTTTCAAAACTTCATTTCTCATGGATTCAAGTACAAACAACCGGTCGAGGTAACAAACACTAAAGTCTGTATGAACATTTAAACCCCTATCTTCTTTTCCGAGATGAACATTTATGGCCTCCACTTCTGAATCCCCCAGTTGAGCTTCAATTACTCTTGCAACAAGAGTCGGCTATAGGATAGTGGCAAAGAAGGTAGCTTGTTCCGGAGACTCACCGAACTGTAGAGCAAACTCATTGACATTCCCCATCATCTTCCACTCATTTATCGCTAGGTTGGCCACTTTACCCACCGACTTTCTACTCAAGGCGTCCGCCACTACATTAGTTTTACCGGGGTGGTAGTGTATTTCAAAATTATAGTCCTCCAGGAACTTCATCCATCTTCGCTAACGTAAGTTTAAGTCTTTTTGGGAGAATAATTATTTGAGGTTTTTGTGGTCGGAGAAGACTTCAAATTTCTCACCGTAAAGGTAGTGTCTTCACAACTTCAAAGCGAACACAACTGCGACAAGTTTTACGTCATGAGTCTGGTAATTTTTTTCATGAGTCTTCAGTTGGCGTGAGCCATATGCTACCACCATTCCCTCTTGCATTAAAACACATCCTAATCCCTCTCTAGAAGCATCACAATACACCGTGTAACCTAACCCCCATTCCGGAATGATAAGAATTGGAGCAGTGGTCAGTCTAAGCTTTAATTCTCGAAAGGAATTCTCACATGCTTCATTCCAAACAAACTTCATTCCCTTAAGGGTCAACCTTGTTAAGGGCGATGCTAAAGAAGAGAAATTCTTTACAAATCGGATGTAGTAACCGGCTAAACCCAAAAGCTATAAATTTTTGAGGCATTCGTAGGCTGCTCCCACCCTAACATAGCTTTTATTTTTGAAGAGTCCACCATAACTCCATCTCCCGAAACTACGTGACCCAAAAACTTCACTTTTGTAAGCCAAAATTCACACTTATCATACTTTATATATAACCTATGCTCCCTAAGAAGTTGCAGAACCGTACAAAGATGCCTCTTATGTTCTTCTTTGGAAGGCAAATAAATAAGAATATCATCTACAAAGACAACCACAAATTCATCAAGGAACTCCCGGAAGATCCTATTCATTAAATCCATGAACGTGGCTAGGGCGTTGGTCAACCCAAAAGGCATAACCAAGAACTCATAATGACCATATCGGGTACGAAAGGCGGTTTTGGGAATGTCTTCTTCTGTAACTCGAATTTGATGGTAACCCGACCTTAAGTCTATCTTGGAGAAACAATGAAAACCCTTAAGTTGGTCAAAGAGATCATTAATTCTAGGCAAGGGGTATTTATTCTTAACCGTGGCTTGATTCAATTTACGATAATCTATACACAATCTCAAGGACCCATCCTTTTTCTTTCCAAACAAAGCCGAGGCTCCCCATGGTGACATGCTAGGGCGTATGAAGCCCTTACTAAATAACTCCTGCAACTGTTCCTTCAGAACCACTAATTCAGCTGGAGCAAACCGATACGACGACAAGGAAATAGATGTCGTTCTCGAAAGTAAATCTATAGCAAACTTTACCTCTTTATGAGGTGGCAACTCTATAGGGTCTTCAGGAAAAACGTCGAGATATTCACACACTACTCTTGGGAATTCGCCCCGAACTACATCATTTTCGTCCTCCCAAAGGGTTGCTAAAACGAAATTAAACTGACCTTGGCCATGTGGATAATAGGAGGAGGGTAAGGATTTATCACACCTATCCCCTAGAAATGTGAAACATCATCGTTTGTTGTACACATCGTAACCCTTTCCTGATGACAATCTATTGTTGCACGGTATGTAAACAACCAATCCATTCTAAGAATAACATCAAAACCTGACATTTCCAACAATACAAGATTAAACGGGAGCTATCGACCTACTACCTCAATTGTACACCCCTGACATTCATGGGTTAGTATGACCCTTCCCCCTACTGGTGATTCTACTGTAAGTGAAGTATGCAGTTCTCTACTCTCTAACCCCAACAATGATGCAAATGACGTGGCAATGAATGAATGCGATGCTCTAGTGTCAATCAACACCTTAGCCCAAGTATTGACAACAAGAATTGTACCTCTCACTACTGATGGCCCCGTAGCTGGCTCGGAAGTGGTGACAGCATACACTCTACTTTGCAACCTCTGCCCCCCTATGTCACCGCTCGAGACATAAGCTTGTTGTGTGGATTGAGTAGATGTTGTTCCTTGAACTGTTCTAGATGCTTGTCTTGATTGAACCGATTGATATGATTGCCTCTGCCCCTAACCCATCTGTAAACCTCCAGACTGCCTAGATCCCTCCACCTCTGAAACCCTACTTTCTACGGACAGAACTTCTTCAAATGTCCAGGTTGTCCACATTGATAACAAGATTGTGGTTGGCTCCTATTTTGAGATTGACTCTGTGGACGCATAGGCTGAGACCGTGCTCCACCCTTCTGTCCACACTCCACTGCCTTGTGACCCGTTTGGCCACACCTATAAAATGCATGGGTAACTTGGGGCATGTTTCTCGATCTCCCACCTGAAACATAACTTGAAGATTTAGGTTGTTGTGGAGATGATTGCCAAGATGATGATGAACCCCTGGACCTCTTGGAAGAACCCGTGTCACTCCTAGTATCACACTGTCTTGCTCTCTTTGACCTTTGCCTTGCCTCTTCGGCCTCCACAGTGATCTCCACATGAGGTGCCACTTCAACTAAACGGTCAAAGTCACGAATCATATTGCCAACCACCTTCATCAAGATCTTCGACCTCAATCTCTTCTCAAATTCAAGGCACTTCCGTTCTTCTATAGCCACTCACTTGGGTGCAAAATGAGATAAGCTAGTAAACTTAGCCTCATACTCCGCCACTAGTGTATCTAGTTGTAATAGTTGTTCAAACTATTTCCTCAATCGTTCTCTAGCAGTGGGAGGAAGGAATTTGTCGTGGAAAGCTTGCACAAATGCTTCCCAAGTATATTCAACACTATGCTTGACGGATTTCCACCACTGCCCTGCCTCTCCCTTCATTTGGTAGGCCGCTAACGCCATTCGCAACTCATGTTCTCATGTTCTCGGATGTCTAAGATCTCAAAAGACTTGACTATTTGCTCCAACCACTTGTCAGCTTTCATCGGGGTGGGCTCGCCACTATACTCAGCAAGATTAGAACGAAAGAACTTCTTTTTCAAAAAGAAAGCTCTTATTTCCCCCTCAATGGTCCTAGCTGGCTGTTCGGCTCTCAATATTTCCATGGACTCCCTATAGAACCCCTGCCATTTCCCTGGCCAAAACCCCCATAGCTTCTTGGGCCGGTGGAGCAGGTATGTTGTTTTGACCCACTCCTTCCTCTTGCGGAGGAGTCTCAGGTTGGGCTGGGATGTTCCTGCCACCTTGATGGGGTTTACCCCGAGCTCTAGCGTGCCCAGATATCTATAAAAAATAAAAACAGGGTTAAATAACAATTTTCTGCACTTAAGTGCTCCATGCTCAACCCTCACACTCATTTCCATTGCAAACCTCATACTCTTACACATCAAATAATCCAAATAGATACTCAACATTCACATAGAAACACACATGAGTAGTCCTCCCTTGATGTTAGTGAATTCCATGGCAATCAAGGACCTCCAAGTGGAAAGAAGAGTAATCAAGTGCCTTTCTAATAAGATTTCGATGAATGCAACGGAGATAGCCAAATCCTAGGAGTCTAACCTCACATCCATATAATCACATAAAGATACATAATACACAATATATCCTAAACATCCCGTATTGACCTAAGGACCCTATTGCGACAAACGCCATTTCCCACGAGCCCAAAGTATTCTAGCCTATTGCTTTGATACCAATTTGTAATGTCCTGGTAAATCACAACATAAAATACGAGAATAACATGATCATGAAATTCCAAAAAGGGTCATCTTTCTCATTTAACTAAGGGTTGAGTGATTACAACTCAATTAATACATCTCCATAATGTCCAAAATACAAGACTCAGTTCAATAAACTAGATGACTTAACAAGATATGCCCCGTAGGCGTACAACATTACAAAATACATATGAAGGTTCAGTTACATAATCCCAAAACAAAATACAAAACAACCAAAAGCTCTTGACTCCAATTATTCATCAATTTCCGTGCATCAAAAGAAAATTTAATTATATTAAGTAATATCTATCCAAGTAGAAACTTAGGGTTTTATCAATTTTAGGGGTTTTCTCTCTTTTATTACCAATTGATGTTTTAACAACATTTACATTCATATTTAGAGAAGGAATTGAGGAATTTCAAACAAGTTATAAAACAAGAGGTTAGATATAGGTAATAATGGTTTAATCTAATAAAATCCCCAAATTAGTTCACACACCACACACATTGCCATGGAATCCCTTCAACAATGAAGAAATACGAAGATAAAAATATCCCTATCTCAACTATCAAGCCAAATGTCCAAGCTCCTTCATGGATATATCGCAAACCCATAATCCAATCGGTTGATAGTGGCACTCTTCAAGTGTTCTTCGCCCCTAGCAAATGGTTTCGGGTGGATTTCAAGTGTATGAGAGGTATTTGATGGTAGAAATTTAGGGTTTCAAAGAGAGAGGGAGAAGAGATGGAGAATAGAAAAAGAAAATATGTGAGAATGATCTAGAATCGCTATGTTTAAAAAGCTGATATCGCGTTCGCCGCTCGAGCGTGACTTCCCATGCTTGAGCATCCAGACACAGTCAAGATGTCCCGCTCGAGCGACAACTTCCATGTGCTAACCCTGCCCTATACTAAGTTAATTAATCATGCTTATGTTTGTAATTACGTGCTTAATTTGAATTTGGGTGTTAATTGCATGATTATATGTGGTTTTGGCTTTGTATCTGTTCACCGTAGGAAAATCTGTTTGATTTTATACTTTGGAATTTAAAATGAAGGCCTTATCGGCCACAGAAACTGAAATTGCCTACGCCATTGTGATTGGCGTAATTTTTAGAGCCTATGGTGAAATTTAATTAGAAATTGATTTGGATCAAAATAATTAGATTCAAAACGATTAAATTAAGCACTATTTCTTAACCTTAATCAATTTGATTAAGGCAAGCATATATAAAGGCCCCATTACACTTATATTCATTTGGCTTGAACTCAAAATCTGAAATCACACTCTAGAGAGAGAGAAGGCCGGTTCTAGAGAGAGGAAGAGGAAGAATCATGTATTTTGGCTTAAAGTTTGCAAGTTTGGAAGCTACACTCAAGAATTAACTATAATTTGTGAAGATTGGAGCTCCTAGGTGAGTAGATTCATGAGTTTGAGGTTGTGAATTTGTGATCCCAAGTTAGATGGTAATCAAGAACATAAATTGAATTGGTTTTGATGAATTTGAGGTCTATATACACATGCATGTAAGAATTACCATGAATTTGTATGTTTGAGCATGAAATACATGATCCATGTTGAATTTTGATTGAAGTTCATGCTTTTGATCATCTCTTCAACATTTAATTGAGAATGGAAGTTATGTCTCACATGCATGTACAATTCATAGGAGTATGAGTTTTGAATACATGAATTTGTTATGTTGGAAGTATGTTTGGTGTAATTTGGGGCATGCATGTAATTAATTCATGAGATTTAAGCTTCATAATGCGATAAATTTGGTGTTGTATCATGTTAGTAGATGTATATGAGAACTATGGGTCATAAAATGCAAGATGCATTAGTTTGAATGCAAGTTTGAAGCTCAAAATAGTTGCTGGAAAACCCAGAATTTGGCATGTCCGCTCGAGCTGGGAAAACGCCGCTCAAGCGTAAAATGCGAGCTCCCAGAACTTTTGCAGACATTGATGTCCGCTCAAGCAGGGATATTCACGCTCGAGCGTGGAGCCATGTAGTGTGACTTTCAGCTCGAGCGCCCGAATTCACGCTCGAGCGTAAAAATAAGGCAACCAGTATTTTTGCAGACCAAAAAGGGTCAGCTCGAGCGGCCAAAGCCACGCTCGAGCGGGGAGCCTTGTCTCTGAAATTTTGAAAATATGCTTTGTGTTTCATTTTCCGTTTTCTTTCATTTCTGAGCACTCTAAGGCATGCATTGGGCATTGTGAATGGATTAAGAAGATATGAAAGAGGCCTAAGAAGAATATATGAATTTAGAACGGATTGAATTGCTTGTGACCTACTATGTTTATGAAATATGTAAGGTCAAGCACAAGGGCAAATCATCCAGCGGATCACTGTGAGTAATATCTTAGTAAAGATATTTTCAAGTATGTTACTTTCCAAATGCTACTTCTGTATAAGCTTCATGGATTTGTTGATTTGAAATATGAATGAGTATTCTATATGCCTAATTTTATATAAGGTCGTTTGCCATTTTTCGTTTGCCGTTGATATGTTTGATATGTTTGAATTGGGCCTAAGGCCGTTGGACATGAATGATTGGGCCAAAGGCCGTCGGATATGAATGATTGGGCCAAAGGCCGTCGGATATGAATGATTGGGCCAAAGGCCGTTGGATGTGAATGATTGGGCCAAAGGCCGTCGGATGTGAATGATTGGACCAGAGGCCGTCAGACATGAATGATTGGGCCAGAGGCCGTCGGATATGAATGATTGGGCCAGAGGCCGTCAGACATGAATGATTGGGCCAGAGGCCGTTAGACATGAATGTAAAGATGGGCTAAAGGCCGTTTGAATATGTCATTTGATATGTTCGAATACTGTGATGGGCCAAAGGCCGTTTGAATGAAAGGGATTATGATCATGAATATGAAATACGCATGGATATAAATATAAAGAGAATGGGCCCGATGCTGTTTGATACGCCTGATATGTTTGAATTGGGCCCGAGGCTATTTGATATGTTTGAATCGGACCAAAGGTCGTTTTGAATAAAGAGTTGGTTAGACCAAAGGTTGTTTTGTATAGATGGACCCAAGATCGTTTGTTTTATATAAGAATTGGACCCGAGGTCGTTTACATATGGATATGATGTATTGGACCCGAGGTCGTTTGCATATGGATATGATGTGTTGGACCCGAGGTCGTTTTGCCTTGTTGAGATTTGTAAATCTGATGTGAATGAGAATAGTGGTTCAAATGTGTACATTATAAGTATAAGTCATTTATGAGTGAATTTCATTCATTAACCTCTTTATTTTCATATTATTCACTGGGCGTTAGCTCACTCTTATTTATATGTATATAGGTGAGCAAAGGGACGTTGAACCCCAGCCTTAGTGGAATTTAAGAAAGGAACCCGAGTTTTGTGAAGTCAACCCAAGTGCCTCGTGCAAGAGGCTTTGTTCATGATCTTTTGTATTTCTTTTGCTACTTCTATTGGTCATAATAGACTGTTTATGTGTATAAGCTTTTGGTTTAGCTGACTATGTGTTTGAATGATCCTGGGTATGCAAGATGTTAACTACCGATATGTGGTGTGCGTTATTATAATTGCTATACGTGAAATGTTTTGGTATGCCATGTAAGCATAGCTCATTGGACAAAATTTTTAAGTTTGCTTCCACATCTGGCCCCATATTATTAATTATTAATTGATATCAGGTTTGAGGCCGTAGGTAATCTCATGATTACTGGCCGGTTATGACCTTAATCTATAAGGGCGGGTTCGGGTCATGACATTCTCTGCTCGAGCGGAGAAAGAAAAGTCTTAAAAGTTTTGCAGCGCTACAGTGGAATTACTAGGAGCTAACATTTCACGCTCGAGCGGGACTTTCCACGCTCGAGTGGACCTGCCTGCAATG